AAAATCTAGCTCCAAATGTCTGCTCTGTTGCTCATATCATGGAGGCATCCGTATAGGAATCCAACCACAGAACAAGAGTGCCCAAGAGAATAAGTAACCCTCCTTGGTTTCCTGTCTAACTTCTCTAGAACACCATGGATAGAGTAAAAGGCTAAAAGGGAGATGCATAAAGTTAGGAACTAGAAAAGCTGGCAAAGGCACTTCTTCAAAAGTGCATTAGAAGTTAGTCAAAAAGGCCAGGTGCGGTGGCTCAGGCCTATAATCCTAGCACTTTGGGAGGCCAAGGCAGGCGGATCACCTGCAGTCAGGAGTTCGAGACCAGCCTGGCCAACACGGTGAAACCCCGTCTCTACTAAAAATACAAAAATTAGCCGGGTGTGTGGCACGTGCCTATAATTTCAGCTACCCGGGAGGCTGAGGCAAAAGAAGCACTGGAACCTGGGAGGCAGAGGCTGCAGTGAGCCGAGATCGCACCACAGAGCACAGAGCGAGACTCCTTCTCAAGTTGGCCCATGTCCACAGATGTATATGTGCGCCATTTGCATATGTCTTTCTATGAACACAATAGGAACAGGATTGTTTTATGATGCTGCCAACATTCACAGACAGGACCCGCAGCCACATTTCAGGTTATGATGCCTACAGGTATGTCTGGGAGGATGTGAATCAGTGCCATGGAAGCCATGTACTAGCAGGTGGTGACATAATGGGCTCCATCGTATATGCTACAAACATTTCACCCTGACAAGTCAATCAGTGTCAGGAGCAGGGAAGAAGGTGGTTCCTGAAGAAAAGGTAAATCTGCCAAATCTGCCTCCAAAACAATTAAAAAGCAAAAACCAGCCACCACCAAGAACTCCTCTGGGTCCCTAAACCTTCAAGTCATCACAGACCAGAAAGAAACCAAACTTACAAATGATAGGCTCAGAATTGTGGAAACATTCCTTTGCAGCTGCAGAGCCTGTAAATGAGCTTAAAAAAAAAAAAAGTTTCAGTCTTGAAATGACATTTGAAAGGTAGTATATAAATTGCTTCCTCTCTTCAGTGCACCCCCTTTTTCCTTATTCTCCATTCACTAATGAAAGACTTTTCCTCTTCTCCTGCCTGTTTCAATTTGAAACGTGGCACAGAACGGGACACTGGAAGGAGAAGGGAAGGTGGGGGGAGGTGGCTACTTTCAAATCTGACACACATACCCTCCAACCGGCTGTCCATACCCTGGTTGACGGTCAGGCCAGACTCCACCTAAGACAAGACTGAAGGACCAAAGAGGAGAGTAGAAACTCCCCCTCGTGCCACCTCTCCCAAAAGCAGACTTAACGGTGGAAAGGAAGGAGGGGGAAAATAAAGTTCCACATTCCTGACATTTTTTAGCCAAGTGCTGTGGCCGCACAGAGCAGCTTCTCTATTCCAAGCAGCCTCTAGGACTGGGAGAAAACCTGGGTTCAGGGAGGGAAAGCTGCCCCCTGTCTTTGAAACAGGATGGCTCAAAACTAAACCAAAATTGGGGTAGTGATAGGGGTGGGCAGTGAGAGCAGAGACAGCCTTTCATGTGTGTTCCCAAAAGGAAATTATCCCAAGGGAAAGAATTTAGAGTCATCATCTCCCTGGGGACAGAGAACTAGTAAGCCCTGGGGTCCCTAACAGGAAAACAGAAGCCCCCTGAATGCAGAAGAGGTGACCAGTGAGTTGGGGAAAGAGCAAGGCAGGGATGCAATGCAGACACAAACGCTGTGGCCGCCTGGGGTGTGGGCTGACAGCGGGAGAGGGACCCAGCCCATTAGCAGACGCAGGTCAGAGGACCCCAGAGGAGGAATGGCCAAGAAAGTCACTCTTTGTGGGAAGAATTATAATTGAGTTTTCCTGGCTCAGCTTCTGAATGAAGGCATCCTAGCTGGGGCCAAGTCAGAACCCCAAGAGCCTATGTCCTCTCACCCATTTCTTCCATTCCCCTTGTACCTCTTCCTGTCGTCACTTCTAGGAAAAGGGTGATGAGTCCCTAGTTGCACCTACCATCCCACCATATGCATCCCTACATACCCACACATGCACACCACATACTTCCAGAGGGAAACCCAGAAGATTCTAAGTGATATCCAGCCAGTCTTGTGCTGGGTTATGAGGCGTCTCCCCCTGCTTTACTCTGAGTATGACGATGCCCATATTTGTTTCTCTGTGGTACCTACAGTATCCAGGATGCTTCTGATCTCATGTGATAGAGGCAGCAGTTCCAAACTCCCCCTCCCCACCAACAGGAACACTTATCTCTGTGGAGAGTTAGTCAGTAGGGAAAGACAGTGAGGCCGCCCGCCATGTGCCCGGCACAAAAGAACACAAGACCTTCTTACTGGAGGCTTAGGGCAAAGCCCTCTTTCTCCCAGAGAAGCACAGACTGATGATCTCACAAAGTACCTCCAAAAGAAGGAGACAGCTGCCCTGCAGGTCCTGTAGGTTCAAGGTGCTATGGGAACAAGCGATGGGGTTGGCAGGAAAAGGGGGCCTGTAGGCATTTCAACCAGGGGCCTAGGTACATTCCCCAATCCAAGCCTAAGGGGGAGAAAGAGTAGTTTTGTTTGTTTGTTGTTTTTCTCGTCTTGGGCCTTTCTCTTTCACCAGGTACTGGAAGTAAGAGTTCTTAGCACCTTTCAACTTCTAGAGTGGCAGGTTTAATGCACAGGACTTTCCATAAGACTAGAGACCGGGGGAACGAGGTAGGTACCAAACTCAAGTGCTGGCAGCTCTTTCTGAGCAAAGATAAGGCAGGTAGGGCCACGAACCCTAACAAATGCTAGAAATACGAAAGAGCCACAGGCTATGCGAGAAACTTGGCCGCTGCAGAGCCTGTGGCTTTGAGGTTTACAGCTGTCACGTGTATCTTTCCAGCCACACCCTCCAAGGCTGGGGACACGCACTTGGAGTCCTCTTAGAATGGAGGACAGCAAACAGACAGGAGAGAACGCACTGGGCAAAGGAAATTCTGTTATTTTGTTAAGCTGTTATTATAATAAATAATCACAGGGCTTCGGGCACAAGAGACTTTTTCATGTTGGTAGATGTTATGGCTTTTGTTGCTGATATGATCTCAGTTAAACCTTGCAATCACCCTGTGTGGAAGACCAGTTCTATGAACCTCTTTAATGATGGAGAAACTGAGGCTGCAGTCAGCTTTCAGTCAGACTAGTCACAGAACAGGGACTGAGACACAGGGATATGACTCTGTGTGACACCACACACTTCCAGGGGAGAACCCAGAACAAGGTGGAGCAAGCCTGATCCAATATACCACTAGAGAGAGCTATGAGAGGGAGCGGAAGGACAGAGGGACTGAATTAAAGGAGCACTACCAACCACCGGAGTGGAGACCCGAGTCCTAGCACCACCGTTTATTTCCTACAGACCCTAAAGCCCAGCCACGGACACATTCATTCATCCAACCCTGACTTGGCCACCACAAGAATGTTCCCAGCTTGAGAGCAGCTTCGCCAGCCAATTAGGGCCCTTGTCATTCATAGAGATACAGGGAACCCGGAGACAGAGGGACAGGGAAGGAAATTTAGCCAGGCAAGCCATCCTCCATCTCCGAGGAAGTTTGTAAATGATCACAGCTTCCTAACCCAACCATGAGAATGCAAGAAGCAACTTGGCCCAGACGGGAGGACAAGGAGTCTCAGGAACCAGAGGAGACCGCGGTGAGAGTGAGGGGAATGTCGCTCATATATCTCACTTCTGAGACAAGATATACCGCAACAAACCCATGCCAACCTTCCTCCAGTTCTTCCCACTTTTGAGTATCACATTTTTCTTGCTCTCCAAGAGTAGGGAATCCTTCCCATCAGTCTTGTGAATTCTGACCCCCTGCTGGCTTTCTACAACTCCCTGCCTGGGAGGCCAACACCAGGACATTGCTGTCGGGGTGGGATCCCCATCCTCTGCCCACCACTCCTACACTATAAGAGAATCAACTTCCCCAAAAAGTGGAGGGTATCCCTGTCTCTCTTCTTGTCTCTGTAAAGGGGGTGAAGCTCTGGGTCGCCGCAGATGTATCTAAAGGGACGGTCCACGGAGTGGTCAAGGATATCCAAAAACTGGCTTTCTAGAGCACAGCAAAAAAGTGGGAGCGAGAGGAGCGCAGAAGGCCACTGCTGGGATGGGGCCAGGGCCACACGTGAACATCCCAGCACGTTCCAGAGCTGAGATGCAAAACACCCAGAAAATCAGATAGGAAGTGGAAAAGGGTCAGGGTCTCTCCTACTGGAAAAGCCCAGAAGAACTAGTGGCCACCCCTCGGGGGAAGAGGGGATTGTGCAATGACTGCCGGTCTGGGAGTCTCTGGGCTTGGCTCCCGGACTTCAGAAAGGAAACCCCACGCGTCAAGCCAGGGTGGCAGCGCGGCGGTTGGTTCGAGGCCAGGCTGGGGTTTCAGGGCTGCAGACAGAGCTGCAGGATACGGTGAGTCCCCAAGGGAGCGGCAGAGCATGGCATGGCTGGCACGGCGCGGAGCTGAGGGTGCTGTCTGGGCTGGCCGGGGTACAGGCCGGAGGGATACAGTGCACAAAGCTGGGGTGCAGATAACGTACACGGCAGCCAGGAGCCCCAGATCAGAGGAGGGCCCGCTGACCCGCAGGGGTGTGCCGGGTGGCGCACGACAGGGGGCACTGTCCCTCCAGCTCCCTCCTCCCCAGGCTCTCACCTCGAACATAAGCCCGATGAGGACGCAGAGCACCAGGCAGAAGCCGATGTCCGCATGGTTGTGGATGACGAACTCCTGGCTGAAGAGCGGGTAACTTTTCGTCCTCCTGCGGAAAGCCATGGCAGCGGGCGCGCAGCGGCCGGCGGGGCCCGCACCCTGCGCTCACGAACCGCAGCGCAAACTTCTCCAGCCCCGGCCCGGTCCGCCCGCCGGCCCGCCGCCCGCTCTCCCACAGCCGCCCGCCCGCCCAGCGCGGAACAACTTCGGGGCCCGCCCCCTTCCTCCGCCCGCCCCCGCCCCCGCCGCCCGTAACCGCCCCCGGCCGCAGCCCCCGCCCAGCCCGCGGCCCGCACTCGGCGCGCCCGGCCCCGCCCTCCGCGCGCTTAACCCTCTAGCCGCTGGGCACGCGCTGGCGGCCGGGGCGGAGGCGTCCGGGGGCGGCGAGCGGGACCCGGCTCCTCCTCGTCCCGCGCCAGCGCCGCGCCCGGCCGCATTCTCGGGGCCGGGGGCTCAGCCGCTCACGGCGGAGAAAGCAGGCCGCGGAGGAGGCGGGCGCCCGGGCCTGCCCGGACAGGAAGTGGGCCCAGGTTTCCCACTCCTCGCTCTGCTCCTTCCTCCGCGGCAAGGGCAGGCCCGGGAGGCAGCGAGCGCCCCGGGGGTGGCCGGGCAGCCGGATGCTCTCGGGGTTGCGGGCTGTGGCCCTGGGGGTTGAGGGCTGTGGCCCTGGGGGTTGAGGGCAGCGCGGGTGCGGCGGAAGCAGGGAAGCTGCGAAGCGGCCTTTTCGCTGGCCACAGCGCCCTGCACGGACGATCAGTGAATGGAGATTACTCAAGTATTTATCGAGAACTTGCAGTGGGCTAGGCACGGTTCAGGTTGTGTGAATGCGCAGATCGACACACCGAAAGACCCTGCCTTAGGGGAGCTTTCCCTCCAATGCGGGGAGAGGGTGGATGATTGCAGTTTTGCCCAGTAACTTTTGGGAACCTCACGCCACCATTAATTAGCTACACACATCTCACCGAAAGTCTACCTTACATATTAATCAGAAGAAGTGGAAGAATAAACACAGAAGAAGCAAAAAAGGAAGGCACTTTCTCATTGAAAGTTTCTATTTAATATTGTCTTAAAAGTACTCCTGGAAGGACAAAAGGTGTTTTTAATAAATTAATTTATATTCTCAAATATTGGATTTAATCCTACCAGTAATGAAGGAGTCAGTTACTTTCTAGATGTGCAGAAATTACGTAATGAACAAAAAACTAATTCCTATTCCATTTTTTATTAGGTCCACAGTTGTTTCACTTCTAAGTAAATATGATTTTTTAAAAGTGGCACGGGGTGGAATGTAATTGAGGAAGGATGGAGTTCCTAGAGAAATTTTACTTCCTCAATTTACACTCCACCTTACTTAGCATACAGTCTTGGGTCTGTAATTCCCTTATCTGACTCTCAAGGAAATGAAAAAGTAGTGCCTAGATTGGACTAAACCTCATTTAACTTCAAGACTGACCTTTCTCAAAGTTGAACCTTCGTCTTGTGAGGAACAGAAAAGATCAAGAATTGTGAAGCACCTCGATTTTCCAGCTGTGAAGATGTGTTCAAATTTTCAACATGCGGCCACATCTGTGAGGTTGAACTTGATACAATTGGTTTATTTATAGGTTCAGATGGTTGAATTTAACAGTTACCCCCACCGCTGCTATTATTATTATTATTATTATTATTATTTTGAGACAGAGTCTTAACTCTGTCGCCCAGGCAGGAGTGCAGTGGCGAGATCTTGGCTCACTGTAACCTCTGCCTCCCGGCTTCAAGCAATTCTCATACCTCAGCCTGTAGCTGGAACTACAGGTGTGTGCCACCACACATGGCTAATTTTCGTATTTTTTAGTAGAGATGGGGGTTTCACCATGTTGGCCAGGCTGGTCTCAAACTCCTGACTGCAAGTGATCCGCCGTTTTTTGAGACGGATTCTCTATTGCCCAAGCTGAAGTGCAGTGACGCCATCTGGCTCACTGGAACCTCCTCCTTCCAGGTTCAAGCAATTCTCCTGCTTCAGCCTCCCTAGTAACTGAGATTACAGGTGCCCTCCACCACCCCCTGCTAATTTTTGTATTTTTACTAGAGACAGGGTTTCACCATGTTAGCCAGGCTGGTGTCGAACTCCTGACCTTCAGTGATCTGCCCGTCTGGGCCTCCCAAATTGCTGAGATTACAGGCCACTGCACCCGGCCTTTTGCTACACTACACTACACTACACTACACTACACTACACTACACTACTATACTATGGGCAGCACAGTAGGTTTGTTTACACCAGCATCACCAGAAACACGTGGTTAATGCATTGCCCTACCGTGTTACAGTGGCTATGACATCACTAGGTGATAGGAAATTTTCAGCTCCATTGCAATCTTGTGGAACAACTGTTATATATATTGTTTGACCAGAACATCATTACATGGCATATGAGTGTATGTCCTCCAGTTTTTCAATATTCCTCCTGTCAAAAAGAGGCAATTCATTCCCCTCCCCTTGAGTGTGGGCTGGACTTAGTGGCTTACTCCTAACAGATAGAATATAGTGTAAGTGATGGTATGTGACTTCCAAGACTAGGCCAGAAGAGGCATTTGGGGTTTCTGCTTGCTTTCTCTCAGGTCACTCCCTCTGGAGGAAACCAGCTGCCACTTTGTGAGGATACTCATAGTCCTGTGGAGGCATATCCTCCATATGGCTAAGGCCTCCTGCCAACAACCATCACTGACTTGCCAGGCATGAGTGTGCCACCTTGGAAGCAGATTTTCCAGCCCCAGTCAAGCCTTCAGATGACATCAGCCACTGCTAATCTCTTGACTATAACCTCATGGGAGACCCTGAGCCAGAACTAGCCAGGTAAGTCACTCCTGGATTCCTGACCCACTGCACCTGGAAGAGAATAAGTATTTGCTATTTTAAACCATTAAATTTTATTGTAATTTCTTATACAGCAAGAAGTAGTTAATACTGCTAAGCTTACAATCTTTTAGAATAGACTGAGACATCATTACAATTCAGTGTGATGCTGGTGACTCTTAAGAATAACCTGAAATATACACACTCTGAGTACAAGCAAAAGGTAACTTAATTCTGTCTGGGGGTGTGGGGAGGAGGTCATTTGGGCTGGGCCTTTACCTGACAGATTGTACTGTCAGAGAATGCAGAAAAGGTGTGGTAGATGAATTTGGAGAGTTAAGACAGAGCTGGATTGTGGCAGGTTTTGCATACTGTGATAAAGAATTGTGACTTTACTCAGCTACTTGGGAGGCTGAGGCGGGAGAATGGCGTGAACCCCGGGAGGCGGAGCTTGCAGTGAGCCGAGATCACGCCACTGCACTCCAGCCTGGGAGCACAGCGAGACTCCGTCTCAAAAAAAAAAAAAAAAAAAAGAATTGTGACTTTATTCTGCAAACAATGGGAAGGAATGGAAAGTTGGTGCTTTTCGTTTGTTTGTTTTTGAGATGGAGTTTCGCCTTTGTTGCCCAGCCTGCAGTGCAATGGCAGCATCTCTGCTCACCGCAACCTCCGCCTCCCGGGTTCAAGCAATTCTCCTGCCTCAGTCTCCCGAGTAGCTGGGATTACAGGCATGTGCCACCACGCCCGGCTAATTTTGTATTTTTAGTAGAGACAGGGTTTCTCCATGTTGGTCGGGCTGGTCTTGAACTCCCGACCTCAGGTGATCCGCCCGCCTCAGCCTCCCAAAGTGCTGAGATTACAGGCGTGAACTACTGCGCCCGGCAAGAAATGGAAAGCTTTTAAGCATGACCAGATCTGTCTTTAGAGAAGAACTATCAGGAGTATGGAAGACCATCCTGATTTAAACAGGAAGACCACTTTGGAAACTATTATAACAGTCCAGTAAAGTAATGAACACTTCTCTCTTTTTTTTTTGAGGCAGGGTCTCTGTCACCCAGGCTGGAGTACAGTGATGCAATCATGGCTCACTGCAGCCCCAACCTCCTGGGCTTAAGTGGTCTTCCTGCCTCAGCTTCCGAGTAGCTGCAACTGCAAGTGCACACCACCATGCCTGGCTAATTTTTATTTTTTTTTAGAGACAGGGTCTCCCTATGTTGCCTAGGCTGGTCTCGAACTCCTGGGCTCAAGTGATCCTCCTGCCTCTACCTCCCAAAGTACTGGGATTACAGGCATGATCCACTGTGTCTGGCTAGCACTTCTCAAAAAACAGTAGCAGTAAGAATAAAAGGGAGTTGAATGAGTCAGAACTTGCATCTGGGATGACAGAAATGATGGTGGGACCATTAAAAAATTTATTTGGAATAGCAGATAAAGAGCATGTTTAAGGGAGGAGAAGAAGGTGGCCTCCACTTTGAGCAAGCTGAGGTTGAGGAGCCATGGAACACTTTGACAGCTCAGTTGGAAACTGTTGAATTGAATTTGGGGAGGGAAAATCACAACTAAAGTATTTTCAGTTCATCTTCAGTAGGACTGTTGAAGTCATCAGGTGACATGAGTGTTCCTGAGAGAATGAGAAAAAGTCTGAGGTCAGCAGAATCCTGGTGAACCCCGACACTCAGAATGGGGGAAGATGAGGAAAAGGAAAGGGTGGTGTAGAGGAAGTCACGACATAAGAATTTCATTAAGGACGGGTGGAATCAGGCAGAACGAGAATGAGATGAAGCCCCCAGATTCAGCCATCCTGGCTTTTAGAGACCACTTAATTGAACATTGGAGTGGCTTAACAGTAGGTAGAAGTTGAAAAAAGGAGGTGGGTAAAAAGGTCTATTTGTAAAAAAAAAAAAAATGTGAGAAAAAGAGAAATGGGTGGTGTTTTGAGGGCTATGGAAGATCTAAGGAAGGATCTTTAAATTATATTTAATTTTTAAGATTGGAACATATTTGGAGAGAGAGAGGAAAAACCAGGAGACAGGGAAATACTGAAAATACTTGAGATACGGGAGATCAGTGATGAAACCGAGGAGGAGACCGGAGGGTGGCTCCAGCAATAGGAACAAAAGGGAAAACTCTCCTGACAAGGATCAGGGACCTAGAAATGGGCGAACACAGTTCCATCAGGATGTGGAGGAAATAACAACCCCTTACATTTATATTGCACTTTCCAGTCACCCTGTGAAGGAGGTAAGACAGTTATTACCAGCCCTTTCTTGTAGCTGTTCTGAGACATGACTGACCAAGGGCCACATAATGAGTAGGTAGCTGAAGCTGGACTCAGACCAGCCTGTCAGGCTCTCAGCACAGGGTTCCCTTTGCTGGACCACACTTCAGCCCGCTCAGGTTTCCTAAAGCACAGCACTGTCAGGCAGGCACTACCTCTCCCTCTCTACCTATCTAGTCATGGCTGCCGACAATTCGGCTCTATCAACCTTTTTTTTTTTTTTTTTTTTTGAGACAGAGCCTTGCTGTGTCACCCAGGCTGGAGTGCAGTGACATGATCTTATCTCACTGCAACCTCTGCCTCCTGGGTTCAAGTCTCCCAAAAGTACCTGGGATTACAGGCATGTGCCTCCATGCCTGGCTAATTTTTGTATTCTAGTAGAGGTAGGGTTTTGCCATGTTGGTCAGGCTGGTCTTGAACTCCTGGCATCGAGGAATCTGCCCACCTTAGCCTCCCAAAGTGCTGGGATTACAGGCATGGGCCACTGCAATCGGCCTCAACTCTTAACTAAATTAGATTACTCCCTCTTTAAAAAAGCAGAACTTATCGTTTCCGATCCCTATGTCTGTGTGTTTTTGTTCACCTCTCAATGTTAACCATCTTTCAAGACAAAGAGTGTGCACCTCTTCTATCACTAAGCTTCATGGCATTAGTCTGGGGGCATCGACACAGCAATTTGTGTGTAGCTATCAGCTAGGACCAGGTCCTCCTGCAATCGGTATGTTTGTCTATGAGTTTTACCCCTCATTACATGGTGCAATCCTTCAAGGCATGAATCCTGCCATGGAGTACTGTCATAGTCCAACAGCATAAAGCACAAGAGTCCCACATCTTATGTTCTCATCAGATATTGGTTGAATGCATGATTGAATGAGAGATGCTGTTGCCGTGGGCTGTGTAAGAATGACCACTATCCCCAACCTTATCTACTTGGAGCACAGCATGCTTTTGTGTTGATGAATTCTTTCCAGTAGCTGTCCTTTCCCCAAAGTGGAAAATGTATTTTCTCACGTAACAAGAAGCCCAGACTTAGTTCATTCCTAGGGATAAGTAATGCATCAAAGACCAGGATCTCACTATCCACCCACTTTGAAACTTGTTTGCTTTTGTTGCAGGCTTACCCCTCATGGTTACAAAGTGGCTGCAACAGCTCCAGGTATTCTGTCCTTTAACACAGAATAACTCAAACAACAAGACCCAAAATTCAGACAAGAAGGAAAGGGACTTTTGAAGAGTGAAGAAAACTTTCCTAGAAACCTCAGACTTCTCCTCATGCCTTATTGACCAGATTGTATCTCATGCCCATTTCTAAACCAATCGTTGGCAAAGTGAATGGTATTGATGTGATTAGATTAACTTTACCAAGAATGCATCCTCAGAGAGGCTGAGAAAAAGTCCAGCCTCCTTTGAAGAGCCTGGCTACCTTTTACCTGAACAAAACAAGAACTCTGATGAAAAGAAAAATGGAGAATTTATGTGGAGCAGGCATCCAGAGTGTCTATGCCAGGATTTTTTTTTTTTTTTCAGTGCATTTCACCAGTTATATTTTTATCTAAATCTTTACCTTACAAGATATGTGGCACATTTGCCTAAAACAAGCCAAACAAGCCTTGCTTTCTGATTTCTGTGCACTCGGCACTTAAACCTTGCAAATGTCATTTACCTAACAGTCACTGTCAAGGAGTACCTGGCTAAAGAATCTCCAGCTAGACAAAGTAGAAGTATCTGTGCTCTGGCAGTTGAATATATTGTATCAGGCTCAACAGCAGCTTTCACCAAAGGATGAGACTTCACAACCATTAGATCTTCTTTTATTTTGTTTTTATTTAAAAAAAAATTTTAACACACCATTGCTACCTTGAGGCCATTAGATGTTCTTACCCCCAATACCACAAAAATTTAGTGGAATCAGGGGTATATCAAGGCAAGTGGAATAGGGTTGCTGGAAGCGGTCAGCCCCCAGGACAGGCAATGAGGGATTGTGAATTTGGGAAGAATTTTAAAGCAGTGATACAGCTCTAAATGCAATGTACTATCCTGGACTTAGCCCTGGAAGAGAAAAAAGATATTAGTGGAAAAACTGATAAAATTCAAATAATGTCTGTAGTTTGGTTAACAGTATTATACCAATGTTAATTTCTGTTTTGATAAAGGTACCGTGGTTACGTAAGCTGGATGAAAGATATGTGGGAAATCTCTCTACTATTTCTGTAACTCTCCTGTAAACCTAAAAATATTTCAAAATAAAAGCTTTAATGTTAAAATTGACTGAAAATTGATCCGCTTTTTTATTATCACCATGTGCTGCACATGCTAAACAATTTTAGGAATAAAATACTTCCTCTCCTCCTCCAAATCTTTCGGTCTAAGTTCTAAACAATTGCTGTTTAGAATCTTAATAACATGTATGTAAATTTCAACTTAGCATATTTTTATTATTTATCTTTTAATGAACTTTGCAGGCTGGGTGCAGTGACTCATGCCTGCAATCCCAGCACTTTGGGAGGCCAAGGACAGAGGATTGCTTGAGCTCAAGATTTCAAGACCAGCCTGGGCAACATAGCAAGACCTCATCTCTACTGAAAAAAAAAAAAAATTAGCCAGGCATGGTGGCATGCACCTGTAGTTCCAGCTACTGGGGGAGGGGGGTGCTGAGGCAGAAGGATAGCTTGACCCAGGTGGTTAAGGCTACAGTGAGCCATCACTGTACCTCTGCACTCCAGTCCGGGTGACAAAGTGAGACCCTGTCTCAAAAAACTAAAAAAAAAAATTAAACATTGCATTCTACATGCAAGTTAATCCTAGAAACTCATGTACCCAATCAGCCTCTGATGTGTGCAGTGTCAGGTACACATATTTGTTCATACCCTATTGGAATCATCTGAGTTTGTTTGGGACACAGTTCACTTCTCCAATCTGGTACTACAGATTCTTGTGTTTAAACTAAAAATTTCAAACGGTGATAGCATGGCGATTGTAAAGACAAAGAAACGGGACTGGTTACTTTAATTCTGTCATTCTACATGACCACTTGAACCTTTTATTTGTGTTTAAAACTTAAGCTAGTGAAATAGAGGGCATAATGCCAATACTATCATTTGTTTCATGGCATGCAGTGTGTGTGTGTGTGTGTGTGTGTGTGTGTGTGTGGCATTCTTTTCATTTTCATTGAGAGGAGCAAGGGGTTAAAAATGATCTGCTCCAGGGCTGGGCATGTTGGCTTATGCCTGTAATCCCAGCACTTTGGAAGGCCAAGGCAGGAGGGTCACTTGAGCCCAGGAGTTCGAGAATCACCTGGGCAATATAGGGAGACACCCCATCTCTACAAAAAAAAAAAAAATTAAGAAAAAAAATCTCCTCCTGGCATCAAATATGCTAAATATAAGAGTGAATGCAATTAAGGTTTGAGGTATTAGAAACTACCTTAGGGCTGGGCACGGTGACTCATGCCTGTAATCCCAGCATTTTGAGAGGCCGAGGCAGGTGGATCACCTGAGGTTCGAGACCAGCCTGGCCCACATATAAGTGAAACCCTGTCTCTACTAAAAATACAAAAACTAGCTGAGTGTGGTGGCACACACCTGTAGTCCCAGCTACTTGGGAAGGTGAGGCAGGAGAATCGCTTGAACCCAGGAGATGGAGGTTGCAGGGAACTACGATCGCTCCACTGTACTCCACCCTGAGCAACAGAGCAACACTGTGTCTCTCAAAAAAGAAAAAAAGAAACTACCTTAAACATTATAGATCCACTTTCTCACTTTAGAAGCAAAGAAAGGAAGGCTCAGATCTTGCTGCCATTAGTAAGGATTTCATGAGCAGGGTTGAAAACAGGCCCCCCCTCCCTCCTGGTCTGTTGCTCCCAGCACTGCCTCTGAACCCTATGCCTGTTCTCCTTTAGCAGACAGGCGATAACTCAGAAAAACCAAGTCCCTTGTCCAATGGCCACTAGTGACTCAGTGGCAGAGTAGGCGTGGGAACCGGGACTCCTGACAGCTCCAGGGCTCTGACCACTGCGCCCAGTTTCCCCTTTCCAGCTCTCATTCAGCTAGAGACAGAGCAATTCCCGGCAACTAATGAATGTGCCACCGGACTTTCAGATGGCAAGAGGGGAGCATTGTTAAAAACAGACTTAAAAAAAAAGGACACAACTTGACACTAGACATGAGTAAACTTCAGCCAGAATTCCGACCACCAGAAAAATACTGGGATGTGACATTTGGGAAGCAAGGGAACAATTTCAGGCACTGTTTTCCTCTAATTTGGGAGACATCTTTGTTTTTTGTTTTTGTTGTTGTTGTTTGTTTGTTTGTTTGTGAGACGGAGTCTCACTCTGTCACCCAGGCTGGAGTGCAGTGGTGCGATCTCAGCTCACTGCAACCTCTGCCTCCCGGGTTCAGGTGATTCTCCTGTCCCAGCTTCCTGAGTAGCTGGGATCACAGGTGTGTGCTACCACGCCTGGCTAATTTTTGTATTTTTAGTAGAGCTGGGGTTTCACCATGTTGGCCAGGCTGATCTCAAACTCCTGACCTCCGGTGATCCGCCCCCTTCAGTTTCCCAAAGTGCTGGGATTACAGGTGTGAGCCACCGCGCCTGGCCTAATTTGGGAGGCATGTTTGGATGAAAAGTGTATTAGAAACTTAAGCTGCTGACAAATATGCTTATTCCTTAGTTTTTCTTTTCTTTTCTTTTTCTTTTCTTTTTTGAGATGGGGTCTCACTCTGTTGCACAGGCTGGAGTGCTGTGGCACGATCACGATTCGCTGCAGCCTTGGCCTCCCAGGCTCAAGTGATCCTCCCACTTCAGCCTTCCCAGTAGCTGGAACCACAGGCGCATGCCACCATGCCCAGGTAATTTTAAAATTTTTTTGTAGAGACAAGATTTCACTATGTTGCTCAGGCTGGTCTCAAACTCTTGGGCTCAAGCAATCCTCCCACCTCTGCCTCCCAAAGTGCTAGAATTACAGGTGTGAGCCACTGTGCTGGCCCTTAGTTGTTCTATGTACACAGAGAAAGCAATAATTATCAGAGGGACACTGTTAGGATGCAGTATGCCATCACACTGAGGAAAAGTTCAATAGAAAGAGCTCCGTGGAAAGAAGATTTCCATGAGCCAAAACACAACTCATGAACCCCTGTTACTCAACTGCCGTGCCTGCCGTCTCTGAGCAGCTGTCTCCTAGGCCGCAGAGAAACTCAGAAACTATCTTGATTAAAATTAGGCATCTATCTGTGAACCTTGTTACCAGTCCTTGCAATTCATCCCATCTCTACTTTTCAGATCACAGCCCAGTGTTCAGGAACCATTCTCTTGTTAATTGTCAGGCACAGACAATGCATGCAACTACCAGTGTTCTGCTTTACACAACTCTCTACCACAGTAATTGGTTAGATATACCCTGCTCCCTGCTGGACTAATAAATGAACTCTTACCACGTGCTTGGAAGGATGATGGATGAGTGAGCAGAGGATAAATGGATGGATAGGTAAATGGATGAGTGATGGATGTGTGGGTGGATGGGTGCATGTGTGGATGAGTGAATCGGTGGGTAGTAGGTAGATGGATGAATGGGTGAATGGATGGTTGGTTGTGTAGAAAGGTGGCTGGGTGGATGGATTAATGGACCAAAGTGTGGACATCTGTACCATTCCATGTTTATGTTGATACCCGAGGTAATTCCATAGTGAAGATGCCCCAAGTGGATTCTGCTTCCAAGTAAAAGATGTTCAGGACCAAAGTTATGTTTAGATTTGGTAGAAGTTTGCCTTGGAGTAGACTTTAAGACCCTGAAAGGCAGGGATCATAGCTTTCCATCTATGAGACAGTAACCATCATTGCCTGCCACAGAGTAGGTACTGAGTAAATATTTGTTGACAAACATGAATGAATGAATTATTTGGAAAACACAAGGACGGGCTCTCCTTGACTCTGAAGTTCAACCCCACATTCTGATTCTTCGTGCTTATATAGTTTTAAAATTGCGTTTCTTTATAAATTGGTTAGGCATCCAGAAGTGTCCTGTTATGATGCAAAACATTCTTAGATGTTAAAAATATTAAACCCTTTGCATCTGTTGTCCCTTTGTCAGGAATTGGCTGGTCACATTGCTGTCTCCCTGATTCTTTGCTGATGATGTTGGGCATGGGGCAGGTCTGGCGGTTTCTCTGACTGGGCTGAAGGACTTTTGCTGACAAGTAGGAGAGGGTCCTTTACAGTAGGAATCACCACGCCTGCAAGGAAGGACCCAAAAGCTCCCGTCTATCATGATCTCAGCAGCCAACCCCTGCCCACCGTGCCTTCTTGGCAATCCTGCTCCTGATTTGAAGGGAATTCCTCACTTTGTCCCATGGGTTTCTGCAAGCTGAGCAGGACACCTAGGTGAGGACAGAAGTGAAAAGAGAAGAGGAAAGGTGAGAGCAAGAAAGGAAACATGAGAAAAAGGGAGACACACAACAGTAAGAAGAGAAGGGAGGAAAGAGAGGGACATGAGCAGGGGATGGGAGAGACAAAAAATAGATTGTATTTGCAGCACAATGCCTCTAGTAATAATATTATCATTATCTTGCCTGAACAGATGTGCAAGGACTCCCATCTACTCATTATCCAACATGAAAATGGAACGCGTTTCTATCAGCCTCATCGGAAATCTTGGCAGATGCTATCAGAAAGTGTGTGCTGTTCCTGAGATGTGATTTTTCAACAGTGTAGACTGTACTATTTGACTAGGGGTGGGAAAAAGAGGAGAGGGAGTTGATTGTGCTTTCATTTGGTTTTGTTTTTAATTTTGAAATTCTTCTCTCCAAGAGGGCCTTGCCTTGGACTATGTCCAGCTTTGCTGAATAGCCATGTCTGCATGACCAGTGGTCTGGGGCTGGCCGGCAGTCCCAGGGCCCCACCAAAGCCCAGTGCCAAGGGCCCATTTCTTTGAAATAGTTCCCTCATGGTTCTCACTTCCCCTTACTCCAACATTATTCATAGCTACCATGCCCCTCTATTCCACTTCTGCCCTGACCTCAATGTCTTGCATTGAGACATTTGAAGAGTGTGGTTGGAGGAAACAGCATGTTTGTTCCCAGCTGAACAAGGCTCAGGGAGACTAGCAGTGCCAGAGACAGGAGTGGGCACCATTCGTCTCTGAATTAAGCCATGCAGTGTGCAAATTCCCCATGGCAAACACCACCTTTCCCTGGGAAGACAGCCAAGGCCTGGAGCCCCATGTAGGATATCTCCTGTGAGAGGCCCTTCCTGAGCCCCACAGAAAATGATTCTTT